ACGCATGGCAACGGACAGTTAGCCCATAACAACGCGTGTAAACGCATGGCAACGGACAGTTAACCCATAACAACGCATGGCAACGGACAGTTAACCCATAACAACGCGTGTAAACGCATGGCAACGGACAGTTAACCCATAACAACGCATGGCAACGGACAGTTAACCCATAACAACGCATGGCAACGGACAGGTAACCCATAACAACGCGTGTAAACGCATGGCAACGGACAGTTAACCCATAACAACGCATGGCAACGGACAGTTAACCCAAAACAACGCATGGCAACGGACAGTTAACCCATGGCAACGGTCAGGTAACCCATGGCAACGGACAGTTAACCCATAACCGGTCCGTTGCCATGCGTTTACACGCGTTGTTATGGGTTAACTGTCCGTTGCCATGCGTTTACACGCGTTGTTATGGGTTAACTGTCCGTTGCTATGCGTTTACACGCGTTGTTATGGGTTAACTGTCCGTTGTCATGCGTTTGCACGCGTTGTTATGGGTTAACTGTCCGTTGCCATGCGTTGTTATGGGTTAACTGTCCGTTACAACGCGTGTAACGCATGGCAACGGACAGTTAACCCATAACAACGCATGGCAACGGACAGTTAACCCATAACAACGCGTGTAAACGCATGGCAACGGACAGTTAACCCATAACAACGCGTGTAAACGCATGGCAACGGACAGTTAACCCATAACAACGCATGGCAACAGACAGTTAACCCATAACAACGCTTGTAAACGCATGGCAACGGACAGTTAACCCATAACAACGCGTGTAAACGCATGGCAACGGACAGTTAACCCATAACAACGCATGGCAACGGACAGTAAACTCATGGCAACGGACAGTTAACCCATAACAACGCGTAACAACGCATGGCAACGGACAGTTAACCCATAACAACGCATGGCAACGGACAGTTAACCCATAACAACGCATGGCAACGGACAGTTAACCCATAACAACGCGTGTAAACGCATGGCAACGGACAGTTAACCCATAACAACGCATGGCAACGGACAGTTAACCCATAACAACGCGTGTCAACGCATGGCAACGGACAGTTAGCCCATAACAACGCGTGTAAACGCATGGCAACGGACAGTTAACCCATAACAACGCATGGCAACGGACAGTAAACGCATGGCAACGGACAGTTAGCCCATAACAACGCATGGCAACGGACAGTTAACCCATAACAACGCGTGTAAACGCATGGCAACGGACAGTTAACCCATAACAACGCATGGCAACGGACAGTTAACCAATGGCAACGGTCAGGTAACCCATGGCAACGGACCGGTAACCCATGGCAACGGACCGGTAACCCATGGCAACGGACAGTTAACCCATAACAACGCATGTAAATGCATGGCAACGGACAGATAATCCATAACAACGCATGTAAACGCATGGCAACGGACCGGCTTTCACAAGGTTTGCCCCTCCCCCTTAGGGCAGTGTTTCAGGTGTGACATGTTTTCTATTCGTCCGCCTCCTGCCCCCCAGTACTGAAGAGCGTGCCCTTCAAGGCCCGCACTGCTAAACGCGGCTCACGTTTCTTCTGTAAAGCCAACTTCTGTGACGATGCCAACTGCTAGCCCTTCCCCTTTAATGCCAAGGTTGAGCAGGTTTCTCTCATACGCATTTTGAACCCCCCACCCTCAGTTTATTAGGGAGCTCAAACTAATGCAGACTAACAACAGTCCTGCAATAAAGGCAACTTTTCATAGTTTCATCTTCATTGTAAAAAAGAGGAAGTGTTTGTGGTGCTGTTTTCATGTACTGCATTATATAGTAAGGTGTTCCTATTTTCTTTTTTTTCTTTTTTTTTTTGCTTAACCTTATTTACAGAAATGAGGGAACCCCCCACCCTCCCTCGCAACCCACTACCACTACCTCCATGTGCATGCAGCATGATTTCTGTCATCCCACCCCACCCTCAACTATGACTACTGATGACTAACTCGTGCCGTCACTGGTTGTTTGTGTTGAGAAGACTCCTATCAGGTGTCTGGTGATAGGAGTCAGCCAAACCTCTTTGCCTGGAGCTGAGAAAGTTGCATTGAGTGTCAATATGTTTTTGTGTGTAAAATATGTTGACACGCTTGCAGTACCGTCCTGTACTCCAGCTGAAAAGAAGATTAATGACAGTATTTCCCACTCCTAGGAGAGGGTAAGAAAGGTAGCCTGGCTGAAAGCCGGCCTGCTTGGCCCTCCAGCTCCTGTGTGCTGCTACAGTGATGTCAGCTGCTTCAACTAGTGCTTCAGTTGCAAGCAAAGAAACACACACACACAAGTTTTAGAACACTATAAAATTTGCTAGCAAACAACACAAAGTTGAACTTGTAAAAAGAAGAAGTCAGCATAGTATTAAAAAGAAACAACTTACCTGCTTTTAAAACAGCCATTAAAATATGAACTCAGGTGTTTAAGTGTCTACAAAGCCCACCTCAGAAGCAACACCAGTGGCATTTTTCTTTTAGTATTAATGTCAAATTTTTTCCTTAGAAATGAGTATCATCCTCACCCCTTCCTGTTACGTGTTGCATGTTGTCCATTGTTTATTTACCTCTCACCTGTCGGCAGCGTCCGCCATGTTTGTCTGTGCTAAATGTCATCTGCGGTGTGCTCAACAGCTATTTGGTCAACAGGCTCTAGAAGAAAACAGAATCAAACTTACGTGAACACAGTCTGTATCCACACTTTTGTTTCCTCTGTGACAGCCATCCTGTTTGGTAATCTGCAAACTCAAGAGCTTGTTGACCACTGTATCGTAACCAGAGTGGTTACTTTGTAACGTCCTCATTGTTTAGTGTTACTGATTTGCCAAAATCATGGTCTCAAAGCCTTGAATTTCTCCGTTTTGAAGCACAACTTCTAGCAGTTGAAATACAAGGCTATGGGAATGTGGCATTCCTGCCACATTTGCTAATTTTGTAGCTCTTACGGACAATTTCAGCTTTAACCCAAAGTTTTAACTGCACAAGTGTTTCCAGATTTTCTGGATTTGAAAATTATAACAATAAACACTCAGTTGTCAGTTTATTAGGGAGCTCAAACTAATGCAGACTAACAACAGTCCTGCAATAAAGGCAACTTTTCATAGTTCATCTTCATTGTAAAAAAGAGGAAATATGGTTTGTGGTGCTGTTTTCATGTACTGCATTATACAGTAAGGTGTTCCTATTTTCTTTTTTTTTTTTAGCTTAACCTCATTTACAGAAATGAGGGAACAACTGATATAAATTAGGTGTACCTAATAAAGTGAGAACTGAGTGTACATCCTCTGCTCTTCTTGCTTAAAAACACTCTTAAGACATTGAGATGTAAACAGAAGCAAATGTCCAGATTGACCTCTTGGTCGTCTAACATGTGTGTCCCCCTGTCTCTCACCCCCCCTCTCCATGCCTACTCACAGATCTCCGAAACCAGCCTTTCCTGTGAGCGGACGCGTTGATCCGGAGCGGTTGGAAGAGACCCTAAACCACTTATTTGTCACTTATAGTCCCCTCCCTATTGTAACCCTTCACTTTGTCCCAGTGGCGCATCTCAACCCTGAGGCTGCAGATCACAAAGACTGAAAAGCGAGGACAGGACAAAGCCCTTGTTTTAGCCCGGTAATTTATTTATTTATGGATGCCCTTTTACAACCACTTTAAATGAGCACGCATGATTACAGAAGCACAACGCGCTACTACTCCTTCGTCACCGCGAGCAGAAGGCTTTCCCTGCTCTGTCGGCACTGACCTTTGGGAGGATGACCAGAGCACAGGTGAGGCCATCTGAGGACTGGAGGAGGAATTGTGCTTTCACTAACAAGTGCCTGCTAGCATGTGGATCTTAATGTGGACATTCCTAAAACCCATTAATATCCGAAGATTACGCAGTCATAGCAGGATTTAAACTGGGAGGCAGCCAAGATAAATTGCCGACTCTTCTGCTGCTGCTGGGACGCCTGCCTTTAAGACACCTGCAAAAGCCTCCTGCAAATAACAGAGGAGGTGCGATGTCATAACAGACATTCGTGGACTGTTTCGCAGCGTTACGCCAAGTCTTCGAGACGCTTTCAATCAGACTTAATATTGTTTATTTTGATTGTATCTGGGAGCAAAGACCATCACTGTACTGGTTCTTCTTGTCAAGCTAGACAAACCAAATTACTCCAAAGTTTGATGTTCCGCTTAAGAAGTGCCTTTTTGTGTTATTTCTCGTCAGTCAGCCATAATTTGTTTATTTTACATCTTTCATTTGGTAAAGATTGTATTTTTACCGCCTTGTAATATAACATTAGCCTTATAATCCTGACAACAATATGCAAGTTGAAGGCACAAAAAAAGCTTAAAGGTATGTTAGTTCCTTTTTACCTGTAGTACATCAGAACAGCTGACACGAGAGTCCCCAGAGTTTTGTGCCTTGACCAAGTGGTGGTTAAAAACAGAATATTACGTGCCTTGACAACACTTCCTGTCACACCGTGTGTGACAGTTAGGAGGTGACAGACGCATGAAGGAGACTCCAGGTGGACTACTGTTTCAAAGGCACACTTGCTGTTTGGTTAGCCTGCTCTAAATGTATTAACAGATGAAGGATGAAGTGCATTTAAAGCTTCTTTTTCTTATCCGTTTTAATACAGATTATTCCTCCTAACAGCTTTAGAGACTTGCATGACATTGGCACAAAGGGAGCAATACATCTTAACACTACTTAAATTTGGCTCAAGATTGTATAAAACACTATTCTTGTGTGTATTGAAATCAAAAGAAACATACTTTTTTTTTAAGAAAAAGCTATTCTTGGGATTGTCTGTTGACTGAAAGACAACACTTCCTGTTTAATAAATATGATGATTTATGTAACAAGACCAAAGACTTTCATTACAATTCAGAAGCCTTTCCAGATTAAGCAACATCCAAGCAAGTGCTTTCTACATGTTTGTGTTTTATTTCTTCATTCTTTAATGATAAGTGAGGCTATTTTCTAATGTACTGAAGTATGAAGTAGACTGCTTCTCCTCTCCATCTTTCCAAATGACAGACACGGCCATCGTACATTTCTACTATAAAAATCCATTTAATTCCTTATATCAAACAGAAATCGAATTATAACAAAACAATCAGAACCACAAACGTGGGTTTTTGCCAGTTAAAGAAATTCTCCAAATGAAATATGATTGTTCCAACTTACATGGCGATTTAACAGAGCAGGATGTTAAAAGCAAATAAGCAAGAAAAAAAAACAGAATTTAAAGAAAAAATGTGATGAATACTGTTAACATTTGAGGACTAAAGCCAGAGTTTCCTCTTGGTTAAGTGTGTCTCTGTGTGTGTGAGCACCATGCAGTGATATGGTAGGTATGGCTGACAAGCTGAGGTGATTAAAAGCAATACGGTGAGCAGTGAGACATAGAGCCACACTTCCCAGACTAAAAATCCGGATGGTTAGCAGCAAAGCAAAGGAATGGAGAAAGGAATGCTTATCAGGAAGCCGATCAGTCTCCTTCCTGAGAATGCACTTAACAATGAGCATTAACCTAAATTACATGTCCATGTAATTACATACAGTGAAGGAAAGAAAAAAAAATCCAACCTCCCACAGAAGTACGTACCATCAGACGGTCTCCCTGGCCTTTCCTGAAAGTATGTTTACAATCAAAAGACGAGGAACAAAAGTTGAAAGCAACCGTTCTCGGCTAATTACTGGTCGCAGGTTCTTTTTTTTTTTTAGAGGATGACCGGAAATTCACAGACGCTTGTCTCTACTCCAGAAGAGTTTCAGAACAAAGCCCCAGCTCCTGTCCAGGGTGTCCTGCAGTAGGCTAATCCAAGGCCACGGATATCATCCCAGGCTTTTTCATCCTGGAATGTGGACTTAATTACAATCATCTTCATCCAGCGCACACTAACACACTGCCATGATTCATTCATCGGTGACACAAAGTATGTCAATTATACAATGACTTAAAAAAACAAAAGAAAAACATTAAAAAGTACAGACTGCTATTTGTTACTGATGTTTGTATTCCTGGGTATATTTTCAAGACACTTTGTTAATAGGTTCATATATATGGAAATATATATATTTATAATATATATATATATATATGTAACTTTAGTCTGTGCAAGGAGGTAAAAGACAATCACTTGAATGTAGCTCTTTGCAACAACAGATCAGATGCCGAGTCTCTTGTGCATACACGTGCAGTTAAACATCACCTCGCCTTTCCCTCTAAGACCTCCAGTAGCAAACATACATATACACAAAATGTGAACCAGCATCCAGGAAGCATTCGTGGTGAGCACTGACGCATCTCCTCTCTTTCATGAACAACGAAGACTTGGCAACATTTTCTAGGATGGAACAAAAATGTTTTTTTTCTCTTTTCCCCTACACAATTTATACAAAAATAAAAAAATTAAAATTGTTCCACTGCCATTTGTATCTTTTACATTTGCACAGAGGTAGTGGCTGAATGCGTGAGAAAGGTGTGTGTGTGTGTGTGTGTGTGTGTGAGAGAGAGAAGTTGTGAGGAAGTGAGCAAAATGAAAAAGAACTGGATAAAATGTCTATAAAATGGTTTCTTTTCCGTCACCAGAGGATTTGTTTTCCTTTTTGTCAAAGAACAAAATATAATACTGCAATCACTTAAAAAAAGTAGTTCTTCATTTTATACATTTTATACAGTGTTCTTGTTTTTATGTTTTTTCGTTGCTTTTCTTTTCAGTTGGTAAAGGCATAAAATGAGAGAGCTCGCTGGCTCTAGGTTGGGCGAGGCAGGGCAATGTTGGCAGAGTTCAGTCCATGCCGAGGTCTATGCCAGGGGGTCGCTCATGTCCTCATCAACCTGGGAGAGGAGCTCCTTCTTTTCATCAGTGCTCGCCAGAGAATTGCAGCTGTTGTGGGCACCCATGTACAGGGTGGCATACACTGGGTTCGTGAAGTTGGTGGGCTGCGGAGTGAAGAAAATTTCTCAGTGACTCAGGCAAAAGAAATGAAAAGATTTGGTATATTGTGAAAGAAGCAGTATTTTGCTTATTCAAATAGGCTCAGCTCGCATAAATAACAAGATGTTTCCCAGCTCAGTGCTGAAACCCTGGCAGACATTTGTGGTTTGTTATGTTTTCTGTGTTTGGTTATTTGTTTCTGAAAGTCTGGGCACTAATCATCTGCCCCCAACAAACCAGTAGGTGTATTTCCAGTGAAGAACTTGCAACTTCTTTTTAAGCACTCAGGACTTTATGGACAATTCCTCATTTGATGTTTTATGATTGTGGTGAAAAGTGTTTGAATATAGTGACCATGAGGGCTCCAGCATAAAAGCTTTATTCAGCTGCTCCCCTTACTCACAGTGGATTTCCGTTCCTGACACCCCCAAGGGATTTTTGTCTCCAGCTGGGATTAAACTGGAGATTTTTTCACTTCTTAGGTGAATGTAAAAGAAATGGTATTTATATAGTGCCTTCATACTGTGCTTTTATCTGCTGAATGCATTCACACACACAGAGGTAACTCAGGGTTCAGTATCTTGCCCAAGCATCGATCTGTATACAAACCACTCGAGCCATAACGTGTAAACCATGAGACTATGGAGCCACTCATCAGAACTAAAGTATATGATTCACATAATTCTAACAATATTCATTCCAAAATTCATTACAGATGCCAGAAGTAAATACCATAATGACACCCACTGGTTTCCTAAGTCTTGCTTTAAAGCTTTTGCATTTGGACTGTGGCGATCTCGATGGCAAAAAACTGGATATAAATGTAGAAAAGTGATTACAGATCAGTCAAGACAAAACTGTTTTTCACTAGACGTCCAAAGGACAGGAATATATTGAGAAACCCAGCTACTTTCATCCAGTGTTCTTTAGATCACAAAGAAGGGTCTATTTACTGTCTATAATGATTCCACAACCAAAACCAATTCATTAAAAAAAAAAAAAAAACTCACAAAAGGACTCATAAATGTGGAAATATCTGCATGGTTAGCCACTACCAGGCATTTTCAGATATTTTGTAATGAAATGGCTTTTTTAAGCTTTGTTACCTTGTCTGGGTCTAAAGCAAAGTCGGAGTCCAGAAGTTCCCCAGCATCATCATCAGGATCTCCTTCATAGATCTTATAGGCAGGGTTTCCAATCTCAACATTCATGGCCCCGTTGGTCATTCGGTGGTGCTGGAAGCCCTTGGCACTGCAGAGAAACAGATCAACAATTATCTTAGAAGCAGATTCAGACCCTTGTTTAAAAGAATTGATGTGCTAACCTCAGAAGAAAGCTAGAGTGACTAAAAGGTGTCTTATCATAAACCCATATCATAAATTCACTCAGCACTGGCTATGTACAATTGACAAGAACAAGACAACATATATCAAAGGTTTTCAAATGAGCTTTTGTGTCAAAAGGCCATTTGATCAAACCTATCGAATATACTGCAGCATGTCCATCGCGGAGAATGCTGGATTAGATTGCAAATATTCGGCTGTTTGCAAGCATATAAACATTTTTCAGAGATGCACAGTTATACATTTTACTCTGCAAGCACATTGCCTGAGCCTAATATTTACAAATGTAAACAGGGAAAGGCATGGAGGACAATGGGAGGACGTCAAAAGTTCAACTACTCGTGCATCACCAGAGCTATTCCAGAGTATGGAGGAGAGGTATTGATCTCCTCCATACCTGCTTCATACCCTGGAGGACGGGGCTGTGGCCCCCCCACACTCCCTAGCAGATCGTTACATGGAGAAACCTTTGGAATGCAAGCATGCTGATCCACACAGGTATGCACACGGGTGTTCACTGCTCGTAGACTTAAATTACACCTTTCTTGGCTACTACTTCGAAGCACATCTGTCCTACGTGCTGCACAACAACATTGAATATTTAGTATTTACTGCTGTTTACACTTAGCTAGATTAATGCGATGGTGTTGTGTTTAGTATGTTGCTTTTTTTTTTTTTTTTTTTTTGCTTGTTTTCTATTTTTCTCTCAACAGGTGATCCAGGAGATTTTTATTTTTTTTCTCCCCCCCTTTCTCACTGTCCCTCTCCCCTTCTGTTTTTCCTTTCCTTCCTCTTTCTTTCTCCCTTTCCTATCCCTCACTCATGTCTGTCCCGTCTGTAACATCTGAAAATAAAATATAATAAATAATAAAAACAAAGATCGACCAAATGGACCAATACGGCAATGCCACGACGATCCATTTGGCAAAGTAAATCCATTGGGTATCCTTGTTGGTCTTCAGACAACAATTCTGATGGCTAAAGAACCAAATGGGACAGGCAAAAAAAAAAGAAAAAAAAAAAAAAAAGAAAAAAGAAAAAAAAAAGAAAAAGAAAAAAAAAGTGGCAGTAACTTCCTAGCACTGCAGCTGGACCCTAAATACTGACTGCATTCTCCTCTGGACACAAATGATGGTGAGCAGCAGCATATCTGCATTTAAAGTAAAGACACAAAAGGATAGCTCTGAAAAAAGCTATGTTTGTGAGGTATTTTGTGGAAAACGGTTTAGAGATTTTATTCAACCGCGGGGTTGTCTATTAACTCGTTAGAAAAATACAGGACCTTTAATTAGCACGGACTATAACCCTCTGTTCGGTCCAGCAGGGTTCTGTAATGCACAGAGAATTATATTAGCTAGCGTTAGTGGAATGACAGCTATTGTGAACCGTTATGTGCATGGCCGCCATGCTGATTGCTGCCTAACTGTACATGGCCCAAGCCTCCTGGATAATAGGAGACTATTTTTAGAACAGCGGAGAGAGGGAAGTGGGAGAGGGACCGAGAGAACATATAGGGCTGAAATAGAGAGGGAGAAAAGGAGGTGAGAGAGAAAAGGGAGATTGCATTGACAATCATGCAACACTGAAGTAGCGCGGAGAAGACAGGAAAATGTTATGGGCAACCAAGCAACTAATAAGCTTGAACCTCAGCACTATGCATAATGCAACAGCTCATTACCGCCCAATTAGGCATTACAATGCCTTGCTTACTGAGGTTTATTGATGCAAATCAACTAGGAAAAGATACCCCGGTGCCAAAAAAACAGGAGGTGAAATTGGATGAGAATTTGTCGAAAGTACGGGCTCTGTGGCAGTTCAATCAATTTACAAAGTCTCTGTGGGGGAGGTCATCCACATTAGAATGTGATTCTGACAATATGGAGCTGATTTTTTTCATCATCTCATTATCAAACCGCTGAGGTTTTCTGTGATATTATGATGACTCTTTTCACAGCATACAGCCACGCACTCGGTCTCCAATAATGTAATTAATAGGGGTGCAACGATATTCGTATCGATATTGAACCGTTCGATACAGTGCTTTCGGTTCGGTACGCATATGTATCGAACAATACAACATTTGTAATTTATTTTATCAACTTTTCTTCTGACGATGCTGTCTGTGTTGAGCGCTCAGTGAATCTGCGTTCGACTACTCCGCCTAGGCTGCACTGTCGAGTGCAGATCCACTGAGCGCTCAACACAGACAGCATAGTCAGAAGGAAGAGCGCAGGGCAAGCTAGCGAGACAGAAGTTAAGCTCTCCTTGCAACATGGACTTCCCCCACCCTCATTCAGATCTGGCGTTTGGAATTATTTTGGTTTTCATGTGACGTATGACCCTGAAGGTAAGCGAGTCATGGACTAAAGTAAAACAGTATGTTGGATGTGCCACGCAATGCTCAATTACATGGGTGGGAACTAGTGTGTTAGCGCAGTTAGCTCGTTAACGTGTTGGCCGTCTAGCCCCATGCACGGGGCATCGGCAGTAGCTCATTAACGGAGATTTGCCGTGTTGTGGCGTTAACGTCATTTCAACGAGATTAACCTGAAAGCACTAGTGGGAACACAACGAATATGACTGCACATTTACGCCGACATCATCCTAGTGCAAAGACAAGTGAAAGCAGACAAAAACAAGCAAGCATGCTACTAACTTTAGCCGAGTCATTTAGACAGCTGTTAGCACATGATTCTCCTTATATGTTTAATATGCTGCTGAGAATATAGCCCAGAAGAAGCGGATAGTATAGCTTTTATTTTGGAAAGAGACATTTCTCTGTAATAAACTCTCTTTTCCAAAGATGAGTGATTCCTCAATCAGATACAGGGCTCGCAATATCGCTAGCCCGACGTCCCGGGGCTAGCGATTTTTTTCAGTCAGGCTACCAAAATCTATCTCTGCCCTGCCCGTCAGGCTATTGTAGGAAGGAAAAATATATGTCAATGCTTTTGCATTCTTTCAGAAATGTAGCTGGGTAATTATGTCATTGGCATCGGTGAGCCACCGTCAATATGTGACATATTGAAATCGTGTTTGAATTTCCTTTCAATTTGCAATCTGTCAGGGGTTGACATTTGTTCAAACACAAGCAAGAAAATATAAGACACTGCAGACCGACTCAGAGAGTATTAGAAAACGTGCGCACGGGTGAATGCCTCTGAGTAGACACACACACTGAGCGCAGGCTTGGTTCTTTATTTATAGGGTAAAACTGGTTACATAGTACTTCCTCTTTTAACAGAAAAGGGAGAGGTCAGGCATTATCTCAGCTTATCTGACCTTGCACACATACACTGAAAATAACGATGCAGAAGTATATCATGCTTATCTGACATCACACACTGAGGTAAGGAATGCATTATGTTCTCCTTAACAATAAGCTTGGTTATGTGAAAATATATGAACACACAAAATATAAGGCACACTTGATTATATTGTATTATAGAGATTTGGTTATATTGTATAATGTAGAAAAATCTCTTAACATTTCCCTCCTGATGTTAATATATTTCACAGGTTTAAATCAATGCATAGTCACTTGTTAAATCACATTTTCAACTTGCATGTCATTCAGTGAAGTATTTAAACAACAGCTCTATTAAGAGTAGAGATTCTCCACTCTTTCCTCCATGTTCAGCATATCATACTGGCGAAAGGGATCCTCAACATTTCTCTGGATCAGGACATAATTTCCTAAAGTACGGTTAAACATGTTCATCACCATACTTCTCAGACATGGAATAATACAAGCAGCAAAAATGCAAAATAGTAACATCATACTGCAGAGGGCCAACAGGCCTTTAATCAGCAAAGATTTCCAGGAGCCGCTCAGCAACCAGTCCCACCAGCCTTGCTTATCGGCTACGTAGTCCTGTTGTTGAGCGTCTCTCAGTTGTTTCAGAACATTCAAAGCATTTGTCATGTTTAATGAGTGTATGTTGTCAGGTATGTAGGTGCAACATGTCATGTTAAACAATACGCAGAGACCTCCTTTCTCTGCAAGAATAATGTCTAAAGCTACTCGGTGTTGCATGACAGTGATGCGGATTGCATCAATTTCTTCATTCTGTGATTTGTCAATGCGGGTGGAAGCGTTCAAAAACAGTCCAAAACGATAGTCTAAAGTCTCTATTGTATTGTATAGGTATCGGTACTGAAGAAAATATAATCTGATCAAACATTATTCAGCTTTAAATATTGTTCAGCTTTAAAGTTACTGTGCAACTGTGTAATAAAAATGTGCTCACGACTTTGGCCTTGAGAGCGATAAGAAGCGATCGCCTCATCCTGCAGGTGCAAGATATCTGCAAGCGAAGAGACTAGAACACCCAAGGCCGCTTTCCTTTTATGGAGTTGTTTTTCTGCTAATGCAGCACTTTCCTCACAACCCCCTCCTGTAAGTTTTAGAGAATATATACCCATCCTCACAGCAAATATGAGGAATCTCCTGATGTGAGCTGTGTTGAGAGGTTGTCTCTGTCTCAATAAAAGTTCACTGATTCCCCATCTGCGCAGGTGTCCGGTTGTCTTCATTCTCCGCCAGCCTGGTTAAGTCAATTCCTCCTTAACATCTAAAAGAACCTATTTAATGAAGGAAGACGGGTTCACTTTGTGTTTAATATTATTCTATTGCTGTTGTTGTTTTTTTATATCCTTCAATTGGCGTCACGAACAGGATCCGCTCCAGGCAACTGGAACGGATGGGAGGACTTCGGCCGTGGTCTGAGTGAACGGAGTTTGGACAAAAGCTGTGTGCACACAAAAACAAGGTAAGCAGACCTTTTATTTCTGCTATATTGAACATTATAAAAATACTTAGTGTCCAAACTCCTAGTAATTCATAACCAAAATTGTCTGGCTTACTTAAGGCTTGTTGAGAATCAGACAAGTGAATAAGAAATAAGTGAATAAGTGAATAAAGATAAGAGTGAACTGAGGTCTGACCACGGTTGCAGCCGACGGGTTGCTCTCCGGTGTCGGATAAATACCTCAGTGCAGGTCTGGGACCTTGAAAGGGTTTATTAGTAACGCCTTTCTAAACAAATTAAAAGGTTAAAGGCCTTGAGAATATTTTTTAGTAATATTCTCTAAACTACAGAAGGGTTAGGAAGGCCCAGAGGACTTTATTAGAAAAGATCCTCTAAAACTTAAAAAGGAGAAGTACTGGTTGGAGTCCAAAGGAGGGGTCCCTTTGATCAATAGGAGAAAACGGATCTCTTCTTAAAACCCCGATGATTTTAGTGTTTTAAATGTTTTGATGTTCTGTTTGATATTGGACACACATAAATACACGCTGAATGCTTGCTGTGGAACACTGGGCAGGACAGTTTGGTTCTCCGTTGTTCACAGATTACACAATTAAAGGAACTAGGTTCCTCTTTTGGTTAAAATAATACACCACACATAGAATTTTTTTTTTTTTTACACATTTATTACATACATAAGGAGGGTAATGAGTGACTGCAGGTAATGTATGAAGTGTGAATGAGACGTGTGAACAAGGTGACAACCAACTAGCACCCCTATCAGGAAGCTCTAGGCAAGGTTACCCGCCAGACTCCGGTTTGGTAGAAGCTTGGTAACACCTGAAGGGATATTTCAGTGCTGACTCACCTTTAAAGCAGCGCCCCAGCTGTTAGTGCCTAACAGAGGCAGAAACCCAGCTGGCCCAAATTCTCCTTTAAAATCAATAAAAGAACACTCCTCCATTGACAGTAAAATGGATGGAGAATTAGATCGAGAAACTAATGATGATGGTTGGGGTCCCGGTGTTATTCTTAGCACATTGGGAGAACAATTAACATGTGTTGAGACAGTCATCAACTCCACACACCAGCCAAAGAAGCAAAAAAGCAGAAAGAGTCATTGAGGAAAACAGCTGAAAGGTTAATGAAAGAAAAGGGAAAGGACGAGGGGAGTAGTGGTAACTGGGGAATAATTTGGCAGAATAAGGCTATGCAGGCAAAAGAGAAAGAGGAAGAAGCCAACTCAGCAGCAGCAGGTGCAGGTGTGATGAGCGGGGTGAGACACAGAAAGGAAGCAGATAAGCACGCAGGCCGCAAAGCTAAATTTAATCACTGGGTGTGTTTATGGGAAACTGCAAAACCACACATGAAGAAAAATAGGTCTCAGCCACCTCCCTATTCTGCCTCAACTCCTCCCTCAGCAGGCATATATCCGGTACTTAATATCTCTGGTGGAATAATGACTATTGGAGAAGAACCGCCCGTAGCTCCAACTCCCATAGATACCAAGCATTTTTGCCCAGGAAGCTCCTCTCTGTCGGCGACATCCTCAGCTAGTAGTAGAGCCCCCTCCTCTATGTCCCATTGTTTTGGAACCGGATCTGAGGGCCTAACTGACCCATTTGCGAGCGCACCATTTGCGGTTCGAATGAACAGACAGGAACCCACTGAACAACAATTAACTGATCAAGAAGCAGCATTACGCAGCTGCTTAAATGAACATAGGTCAGTGGTCCAGGTGAATAATCGTGTTGCGTCAGCCCCTCTTTCCCGGTCCAACCCCTTTGCCAGCACTCCTGTCGCTGTTAAAGGAGATCTGACCGCTACTGCAAAAACTGAGCCTGGCACTTCACCAAATGTCACAGTTACCATGTCTTTGGTGGGCCGTCAGGATCCGGAAACACAGATGAGTTTAGCCCACGTTTTTGCTGACACTGCTACCCCACCAGGCGGGGAAAAACTGAGGATACTGATGATGAACTCAGTGACCTTAACAATACACCCCCTCTACCCCTCACAGTTTAGGATATCAGACTAGATCTAAGGGCCCTGTGCCTCAGCCTCCAGGCATGTTTCCCCTGGTCCAGACTAAAGCGCAACGTAGACCAGTGTATCAACCTTATTCATTCGGAGATGTCCAGGCCCTAGTGGACAAACTCCCTGACATAATGGAGGGAGGGAATGCCTGGTTAGCTGGTTTGGATAAATACACAGCTGGACAGGACCTCGCACTGGGAGATTTTAGAGCTATTATAACTAGGTGCACATCCCGATCTCAGGCAGCGGACCTGGAACAAAATGCGGGTACTACCATGCATGAGAACGAGGTGCCACTAATGCAGGCCTTGAGGTTTATTGGACCGGCCCTGCGCAAACAATTCCCACCCAAAAATCAAGGCACCTTACAGAAATTTAAATGGGAGGGAAAGCAAAATCCCACCCATTATCTAAATCAGGCTGTTGAAGACTGGGTGAACCATACAGGTCATCACCCCAGTAGGACTTGTTCACAGAGCATGTGGTTTAGAAGGGCGGTGCTGAGGGGCATTCCGGAGTCAGTAAGCCAGAAAATGGAGGATAATCCTGATTTGCAGGACTGTGACTTTGCAATCTGGAAGAAACATTTGATTTTTAATCTTAACAAAGTGCAGATTAAGTCTGATGATAAAGCGGAGAGCGTCGAAGATTTACAGTTGCAACTGTTGAAGTTCAGCTGCAGAAAGCTAAAAACACTGGGGAAAAGTGAAAAAAAGCAGCGTTATTTACAAAGATCAATACAGTGGTACATGATGTCTGATGAGGCAGCTCCCATGTGTCACTGCCTAATCTGGACACCAGGCTAAGGAGCTGGGTGGAATGGTTAACGTTCCTGCGGCCACTGACTGGACCTACAAACTCCACAGGTTTTGTTTTCTCCATCTACCAAGACATACCAAATTTTAAATGATTGCTTTAATTCCTCAACACTGCAACATGGAGTGGTCAGCGGGTCACATGGCAGAGAACACACAGACCACTGTGATGCTGCGCCTTTACTCGACTCTCTTCCAGATTGTTTGTGGTCCCTTGGACCCACAGATGTAGGTTTAGTTGATGTGGAGCCAGTCTCTTTTCAACTGTCATCTGCTACCCCTTTGTGGCAGCCTCAGTACCCACACAGACCGGAGGCTGAGGCTGGGATTGCAGAAACAATTTCTGGTTTGGTCACTGCCGGTGTCTTGGAGCCCTCCTGCTCTAAGTGGAACACGCCCAGCCTACCCGTTGAGAAAAAAGGCACGGGGAAGTTCAGAATGGCACATGATTTGAGAAGGATTAATGCCTTACTTGGCACTCCTACTTTGCCTGTGCCTAATCCTTATGTTGCCTTGACCAACCTCCCACCATCTCATGCCTGGTTCACCTGCATTGACTTGGCTAATGCCTTCTTCTGCCTCCCACTTCGTGAGTCACTGCGTGACATTTTCTCATTTACATTTAGAGGCCGACAATGGCGTTACACTCGCTTACCACAGGGATTTGCCCTCTCCCCAGGACTGTTTAATCAGTGTTTGAAAGAACTTTTACAAACCAGCCCGCTACCATCTGACTGTATGTTAATACAATATGTGGATGACCTTTTGCTGTCTGCCCCCACGGCTGACATCTGTTTGGAGGCCACCAGAGTGGTACTTCACCACCTGGCCAACACAGGTTTTAAAGTGAGCAAAAACAAACTACAGATTGCAAGAAAACAGGTTTCTTTTCTAGGCCGCATGGTCTCACAGTCCGGTATTTCCTTGTCCCCAGAACACAGGAACTCCATTTTGCACCATCAAAAACCTCTAACTGTAAAAGACATGTTGTCATTTTTGGGCCTGACTGGTTACAGCAGGACCTATGTCCCAGACTATGTTGGCCTTACTTCCCCTTTGCGCGTTTTGGTAAATGAACAAGGCATGAGAAACCTCTCTGCTCCCCTCTCATGGACTACAGAAACAGAACAGGCGTTTATAAAGTTAAAACAACAGCTTTCTGTCGCCTCTGACCTTGCTGTGCCAGATTATGCTTTGCCTTTTCATCTTGATGTTTCTGGAACTGGAACCCATATCAATGGTATCCTGTTCCAGAAAAAAGGGGGAGAGAGAAAAGTGTTGACATATGTAAGCGTAATGCTTGACAACACTGAAAAACGCCACCCACCGTGCACACAACACGTTTCTGGACTTGCAAAAATCATTCAGAAAACAGCACACATAGTGATGAACCACCCACTAAAAATTTTGACATCACACAGTGTGGTGGCCTACGTCTCCTCACAGGCCTTCACACTCACTTCACTCAGGCAGAGACGCCTCAGTACCATTTTGGAAGCACCACACATCTCCTACTCACATGAAGGCATAAACATGGCTGATCACATGGGATCAGGG